TCTCTGTCAGGCCGGTCTGCCAGTGGCACTGCCATTGCCATTGGCAATCTCTCTGGCACTTCGCTTGGCTCAGTCATCTTTGCCAGGCTAGTCTGTCATGGGCATTGCCATTGAGGATTCATTGGCTCTTTTTTTGTTATTGATTTATTTGAGTTCCACTGGCAGGAAATGTGGCAGTGATCTAGTCCCCACACACAGGCTACCTGAAGCAGTGCGATGGCAATGGCAATGGCAACGGAATCCAATAAGATAACCACCAGAAGTGCCATCAATGTGCAGAAACCCCACGATAACCACCAAAAGTGCCATCAATGTGCAGAGACCCCACGATAACCACGATCAGGCCGCCACACCCCGATAACCACCATCAGGCCGCCACACCCCGATAACCGCATATCGTTAAGCAACTTATAACCACCACCACGCCGCAACGTTATGATAACCACCACCAGGCCGCAACATTATGATAACCACCACCAGGCCGCAACATTATGATAACCACCACCAGGCCGCAACATTATGATAAACACCACCAGGCCGCAACATTCTGATCATGATCACCACCATCGAGCAATAACCTGACATTTATTTTAAAATTAAGATTTTTGAATTTTCGCGCTATTCGAAATTTAACTTTCCCTGCTTTCACTTCCGTCACGGAAAATTACTTTCACTTCCGTTGCCAACAGACATTTCCAGCTTATAATATAGATTGTTACTCAATTAGATAGAATCTGCGTATTTGCAAATATGCAAATTCTACAAAATTAAGGCAATAATAATAATGTCAAGGAAAATATCGTAAAACCATGACGAAATTTAATACTTAATGTACACGGTGTACAACTTACTAGTTGGAACCCTGTTTAGTGTTTCCAGCATAGTTGTTTTTACAAAGGGGAAAAGTTAAGTTGTTTTTGGGAAATAAAATGAGAACCAAAATAGTTAAGCTGTTATCATGGCAGGATTTGTCCACGTGTGGAAAATTGTCCTTCAAAATTGCTTTCATCCCACTTTTCCGCTCAGCTCTAACTAATTGTAAGTTGCATCCGTGTCACAGGAACAGAAAGTCGAGTGGTTGTATCACTGCAGCATTCGTAATTTTATAAATAAATATTTTAGTGAAATATGTAATATGGTAAATAACGCAATGCATGTCTGATTTTAAAATTAAATCTACCAATACCTTAGTATGACTTAAACTCGCATACTAAATATTTTATTTTTCGATGTTTCCTGACTGAACGACATGACAATTTTTGTAGACGAATTTTTTTAGACAAAGAGAAGGATCATATATTTTAATAAGAAAATTATCATATTGTACTTGAAGCTTGGTCAATTCTGAGCCGTGTGAATTTAAATTCTCGCAAAACCTATCACATGCTTTACTACGCACGGTCACCTACGCAAGTCACCATTACAGATTTATTTCGCATGCATGAAATACATATCAAAATCCGCATACCGCACACACTGAAAATAAACTTTTCTTCGGGATCTGTTCTAGTTTTTCTTCGACTTTTTCCGCAAAAAAAGTTTTTCTTGTCCGTGGAGCCCAACTGCGACGACATTTTGCATGAAATGAGCCCCACATTAAGACCAAGAAACGTTGTGGTGAAACGGATGCTGATTTGGGGGTCGTACAGAAAGAAGGTTATTTGAGCGGTATCAAGGGTAGGAATGTTCTCGATCGAATTAGCTCAAATTTAAGCTATTAGCGGGACAAGTTTTGTAAATTCCATGACCATAGAAACGTTTATATGTGTACAAGTTTGCAAAAAGTAGGAAGACAAATCAGCTTAGATCGATGTTGACAAGTTGCAGAGTTTCTGGTTTAGAAATACCAAAGTAAAGTTCTCCTGTGATTTTTTTTTAATTTTTGCATCCCACAAATTTCTCCTAAATAAAAGAATTTCCTCTATGCAAGTTTTCAATGGGGATATTTTTAATGAAATCTTTGCAAATATTTGTACACCTTGCGGATTTTACTGGTCTTCCAAAGAAAACATCATTCTTGACGATGAACTGGTTATATAACAAATAGACCGCATTTTTTGTGCACGTCCCTCACCTCGCATCAGGCCAAAGCCCAGGAAATAATATGGAGCATTCGCAGCCACCAGGGCGAAGAGAAAGTTGGTGCGGGGATGAAAATACCGTGAAATCTGTACCCACGGGGTTTAATATTTTTGGGAAAAAGTTTTCCCTAGAAATTTCACATCTTTTACTTTCTCCTGTGGGGCGACATTTCTTAAAATAGTGGGAAAAAATCTTGTACGACATGAAGAATAAAGAAGAAAGCGAGGAGAGAAAGTACGGAAATCAATAGCGTTGCAATAAAACTTTCACCTTTTTCTGCGAGAGGCTACTTATCGGCATAACTAACGGCATCCATACTCACGACTAGGTTCGCCCTCCACTTTTCCCACCAGACTTTCACCAGGGTTACATTTCTTACTAGTTTTGACATGTGTAATTTTTCGTTAATTTTTACGCCGTTTTTGGGAAAAGTGTATGAAAGATAAAACACTTGATTGCAGGAGATTGTTTAATAGTTTTTCTGGCATTCACAAAAACTGATATTTTTCAATTGGCCTTAAGGATGCATACCTGCGTTTGCTAGCAGTTAAATAAATATGAGAAATATTTTTCAAACTACGGAAGAAATTATTTGTACTCTTGTCCATAACAATTGAAAGGTAGGTTGGTTTGTGGACAAAGCCCAAAATTATCAAGTACACAAAAATTAAAAATTACGTAAAGTTTTTGAACCCTGATATGGAAAAAGGACATTTCGACAGGAAGTAAAGGTGACGGTATTTCTAGCCATCAAACAAAACCACGTTGCTGTAAGATTAGCATTGGGGTGCTCGCTGAAACTCAATTGGAACGTGGGTAGATCCAAAGTAAAACGGATGTTATAATTATTGTGGATTTTTTGTGTAACTGCAAATCCAAAATATGAAATTGCAAAAATTGTGCTGACTGAAACTTTAATTTACATAGATCCGTCCCGTTCATTGTATAGCAACTTGGTTTTCTTTATACGTATGCATTTCCATTCAAAATGATTTAATTTCGATTGTCTGATATTCAACATCAAAACCGATTTCGAAATACGCTGAGACATTTAAATAATGAGCCCTGAATTTCAATTATAGATTTTATTGCCATTTAGTTGTACATTTATTACGCAAAAGGAGAGGCTGAAAGACTCGCAGATTATTACGGAGATCTAGGAAACATTTGAATTTGGCGTTGACTAATAATCATTAGGTCCACAACTGTCACTCTTCAGCCAGCAATCGACACAGATCAGTCCTGACAGAATGTGGTCACAAAATCTAACAAATTTACAAATACTCTTTTTCCTCTTATAGAAAAGCTGCCATAAAAATTTGCCTTTCTCCCAAACTTTTTCCCACTTTCTCCGACACCCTGACACCCGTGCCTACTTGAGCATCAACTAACCGCCACAGTTCGTTAGCCTCTCGTTCTTATCTCTCCCTCTGTATGGACACCGTAAATCAGGAACCCACTTGGAAATATACAGTGGGATTTTTATCGCAGAAAAAAATTCTATTTCTAGGTTTCCGAATTTTTGTTTTTCTCCAGAAATGTGCAGCTAAATTATTTTATCGCCTTTCTCACATTGAGAAAGTGAGATACCATTTATTGCTCTCTTTCTCGAAAGAGCGAGTGATTTTTAAGAGGCCAGGTCAGAAATCAATGTCACCACGGAAGGAGAAAATAAAATGGTGAAAGCGATCCCAGCGGAATCCTGGAGGCGATTTCACCCACTGGAAAAAGATTTACTGGGCATAGCGTGAATTGTGGAGTGCGGATTATGTATGCGTAATACATCTTCTTAACAATTCATTGCCCACATTTCAATTTCAATTGTTAAACTAAACTCTCTCTTTTTGTCTGGAGGGACTTAATTTTGGCGTAATTTTGCTTTTGTGTCCGATCGATGGAGATAATAAAGAGAATGAAGTGAGATAAAGGACTAACGTGACCTACCAAAGTGACCTAGAGACGCGGTTATTTTGGGTGAAGTATGGCTGAGGGATAAAATTATGCGAAAAGGGGTGAGAAATCGTATTTAGCTCGGAGATAAATAAATTCCTAGACGGAATGAATGTACTGGAGTTACATAAAAGTTACATGAAGGAATTGTTTCGTGAAGATTTTTTAGAGAACTAGAATGCGTATAGTTTTAGATGTAGCAAGAAAGGTAAAAATTTAAAATATACAAAATTGATCATACTGTGATTACGTGCGATACATTATGGGACAATATTCCACAATTGCATATATTTGTTAAATTGGTTTATATCAGAATGCACGATAAGATCATATGTGCGTCAATTATATAACTTGATTGGTTTGATTGAGTAATTAAACTGATTATCAATTGTATCGCGTTATTACAAAAAGTTGATAAAAGTTGTACAGGTAAGCTTCAAATTATTAGGGTTAAAAAACACTCTAAAAAATCCGGCGATAACTGGAACACGTGACCATATTGGTAACGACTATCACCGGAGGATGATAATATTTCTGAGAGTGCACTTTTGGATTTTCCATGGCTAAATATACACTGATTTTTATACTTTATACTTTGAGTTGCTAAATATGAGAAGTTAAGTGAATAATATTATGCAAAACAAATGTAGCATCAGATGAGTGACTGACATTGCATGAGCAGCTTGACAGATTACTGTACCGTACGTTAAGCATGTGATCGGTTTTAAGGCCTAGATCCACGTGTTGTGTTTATGAATGTGTCATATGTGACACGTGACATGTGAAATATTACGTGTGACATGTGGCATTATAATTAGCATGAGGTGAATATTATGCCCTTTCCCCTCCTCATAATTAGATCACATGCATTATGCACTGTTCTTTAATTGATTACTGATTAACGATTAATAATCAGATAAGAAAGGAATGTTAATTTTTTGCATATATAAAGCTTCTCTCTTGACAAACGATATGCATAAAATTAAAACCAAACAAGTTTGAATTTTATAATTGATCAAGATGGCACTTCGGAGAGAATTAAATTTTGTTTTGGTTGCGTTTCTCGTACAATTATTCGGTTCAGGTAATTTAAGCTAAATTTTACAAGATGTTTTGTGACCAATTTTGGTTACAAAAACCTGTACTAGTGGATCATTTTTTTAAATTCACAAATATTTAAAATCAGCGCATTTTCAAAATTTGCGAAAATTAGAATTTTAATGAACCATTTTTGTTAAATTTTAGCCCTAACCCAGGAGCTTGCCTGTTCGAGTACGCACAGCGGAAATGTGTACTCGTTTACGGTGAACGCGTCCTCGCCAATAGGAAACATAAACTTGATGTACGTCCAGCATGACGGGGTGCGACAAATCCCTCTCTCGACGACCGTTCTCCACAACGCGCTCAACATGCAGGTCCACGCCGAAAGGCAAGACGACTTTCGAAAACACACCTGCGCGGTCATCGTTAATCAGCAGACGGCGTGCAGTACGACGTACAAAATGACGCCGGCGCAAGAGGTTGGTTACATAAAATGGTGGAGGGGAAGGAAAATTATATTTTTTGCAAAAACCTTGTTTTCTTTCTTTAAAAAAATAACGAGAACCTGCACAATTTCAACATTTTTTAATATTTTTGATATTCAGTAACAATTTCGTACCAATTTCTGAGAAATGTATTTTTTGTTAGTCTGCCAGTAGTAGGACCGCTTTTGACCGTGGACACCTTACTCCGGCGAATCCTAACCGATTTTCGGCTCAGGCAGTGAGCAATACGTTCTTTTGTGTAAATATTGCACCTCAGGATCCCTTCACTAATCAGAATCCTTGGTTCACCGTGGAGGACAAGTCGCATCGATATTTCGGTAAATTTCATATGAAAATTTTATTCTTTTCTCAAAGCCGGATATTAATCTCATCGATAATTTTACTAAATTCGCAACATCTTATCGACTACATTTTTTGAGGAGCTAATTAATTAAATAGTTAATCAATTTCGCGCGTTAAATTAATAAATGTCAATGGTTGGAAATCAGCATGTTATCACGTTGTTACCTTTTGACAATAAAGACTTATTATTATTATATTATTATAAATTACAAATTTCATATTATTTTCGAAAATTTTAGGAATTTAGGAATCTTATTTTTCTAGTCTGAAAACCAAATGATTTTTTTACAGCTTCAAAGGACGGTTACGTTATGACTGGAGTGTGCGACGCTAACGACCGCTTCAGCCCAACCCTAGATGGCTACAAGGTTCCCAGCTGTTGGTGGAAGCTGATCTGTTACGTTGACACGGCAGGAACCACGCAGGTCGTCGGCTTCATCGGAAACAATACTTTGATCGACTTTGCAGGAAGTCCGAGCGGCGAAAAAGCAGTTCGAGTCGTGGATACGACAACTCCTCGCGGACAGCAGGAGATTTTGGACGTCATGACCCGCGACACGTTCATCATGGACGCGTGGACCGGCGCAGAAACGTACTTGAGGAGAAATCGGGGCATTGTGAATACACCGACCGCAGCTAATTGTCGATCGAAGAGAACAATCTCGGCAGCGGTTAAGAACGAGTGGAGCAGTGTGATGAGAGAGGGCGTTTTGGAGCATAAGTATACATCCGACGTCGATTTGGAAGCTGTCAAAGCGTTGTGGGGAAATTAGTTTGGGTGGGAGTATTAAATTCTCTCCATAATAATTTAGAAGATTAATTTTTAAGTTAGTTCTTTAAACGTTCCTGATTAGATTAGTTATTTGAAATAAACACGAAAAGTACGTTACGCACATTTGCAAATTTACTGATGTTTCATTGCGCCAAAGTATATCGCACACTGCTAAATAAATTAGAGCTGACGTGAGTCCTCGAGTTGAATTTGTCCGATTTGACGAATGAGGACGCTCTTAATCTAATTTATTTATTAGGGAAATCATTGAGGTCTCATTCCTATATTAATTTGCCACTTGCACCGAGTTTGATTTGTCTGGTAAGGATTCGTTTTTTCGTAAAATACAAGCTTTATTGTCACAACTAATCCTAAGCTAAGAAATTACATAACGATAAACGTACTAATTTTTGTACACTTAAGTTTCCCAAAAAGTTGAAATTCTTCCCTTGCTTTTTCATAAACTTGAATGAAGTGAAAGCAACTTTCGCTACTCAAAATTCAGCACACTTTTCCCAAGAGGAAAATTCTCGTCGCATAACGGACGAGAAATTGCTTGGGAAACTTGTCATCGTTTTTATTCTCGACAGGAATTTAGTAGCTTTCTTGAGGAGAAAGTAAGTGATGAGAGATTTTAACAAAGGTGAAAGTTGGATCGCTCATCATCCATAAAATGACGAGTTTACATTCTTGATCGTTTCTCAAATTGTGTGAAAAATTGGGGAAAATGAGAATTCATCATGCTTTTGAGTTTTGAGGAGGTGAGGATGTGAATTTTAAGGGAAAACCCTGCAAATCGAAATAAAGTTTCCAAGCACGTCGTGTTTGTGAAAGTATCCAAACTCTGAAGATTTACGACAGGGATGAATTATTCGACGGGATGGCGACTCATACAAAGTAGACTGACGCTAAATGTTTACTAAATATCTATCAAGGAGAAATAAGTTATTATATATACGCACACATTTTGGGTTACGAGAATCTTGATAAGTAGGATGACAAGATACATATCGAGAAATGTTTTCACTATAAATAATTCGGTAACAAATGTTATTACCAAAATATTTATGTATGCGTACCTCTCCCAAGGAAATGGAGGAATATAAATAAAACATGCATGTGATGGATTTATGAATGAAAATGAAGAAATATCATACTTTTCAATTATCTATAGTTTATTCGGCAAGTGCCACTTGCAACTATATGCCGGGTCCCTTAACCTTGATATTATTAACTAAACTACTCCAAATCTATTTTAATTTGCAGATATTTTTAAAATTTATTTTTCAACCTCAACTATTATTAACACTTTATACTCACGTTTTTGTCTTCAGTTGCGTGATTAACGTGAACTACAAACTACAACTCAGCTGTAGTGTCCATCTGGTAATAAATTATTATTACATAACTTTTCCCAAATTGATAATCGTCTTCGTCACCCTGCACGAATTGATTGCTGTGTTAAAACAATACAGTATTTGGGGATTTTCTTTCCAAAGCATTACATTTTATTCGTTTCGAGCAGTTGATTTCATGGAACGTATTTATGCTTGTAGTTGTGATGTGCTCATCAAAATAGCGCGATGAAAGCTAGTAAAGCCAAAAGAGATTAAATGGTTCTCCTTATTACTACTTACTCAGAATTACTTCACCAAAAATTTGATTCCCGCTTCGTATCCCTACCATACTAACAGTATGGGAAGGATACCAGCGCGGGATGGAAAAGAAAAACTGAGTTGATATTATGATAAACTTGCTACAAAAAAAGTATTTGGATTGTGGGTGAGACGAGGGGAAAGTTGAGCATGGTCCGTCCCACTTGAAGTCTTTGATAGATTGGGTTGTAACTCATCCCTCCGATTCGCTGTCCCATCCATCCCAAACTTTCTCCCACTTTCGCCCCACAAAAAAAACTAGGCAAGGGACAAGCTTATAATGTAAGCCGAATGAAGCACAAATTTGCACAGATGGTTAGAACGTGGAAGGTTCTGGTAACTGGGTCATTTACGAAAACCTAGAAAAATGGTCACAGGTTTTTGGCGAGGATGAAACAAAATAAATGAAACGCTAAAAAAATCAATATGCAAAATTAAAGCTGTAGAAAAAATGAGGAGAAATAGGACAAAAATATTTTATTTATTGGTGTATTTATTTATATATTTATTTATTTTATTTATTAGTGTTTATTTTCGCAAACATGAGAAACAGTTAGAATTTTTATTAGAAGGAACAAAGTCTGCACAATCATATTTTTCATATCTAGACTAGATAATCTAGTATATACTTAATTAATACAATTTAGGTAAATGCACAGAGCATGTCATTCATTTAAACTGGTAAATGTTCGAAAACAATTCGAAGAAGGTATATAATGAATTTTCAAAAATTCGAAAGCGTCCAAAAAATTTGGAACCCTAAGGGAGCAAAAAAAAATGGACACTTGTACTCCTATAGGAAAAAGTGCAATAGAAAATTGGATTCTGCCCAAAATTGGAATTTTGCATGCATCTCTATGTACCTAGCCACAAGTCTGGTCTGGATTGTTGGCCGGACAGTCGATTTGTCTTTGATTACATGACTGCCATGTTTTCCTAACTCGTCCCACATCGTCTCCCTGAGAAAAAGATCATTACATCGTGTCCACGTCCACCGCACGACTTTCTCCCACAAATACATCTCCTGCAACCAAACCGAGGTCGGGAGGACCAGAATGGCAACCAATCTGCGACCCAAGCAAGCATTGGTTGGAATATGGAGAAATCTGCTGGAAACATATATGCGTCTCCATGATCCAAATAATTTCGAGCTGTTGTATTCTTTCGTTTTAAAAATGTCCCCAAAGTGCTACCCAATGTTTCTGATGTAATGAAATTTCTTTTTGCTATTTGTAATGCACTTTAGTTACACAAGTTAATAATTATTAATATTGAATAGTTTGAACATATGCTATACTGACCAGTGTGTCACCAGTGGTAAACCATTGTTGTATGAATTGGGAAAGACACAGTAATAAAGATACAAGCAAACAAGTCAGAAAAATTGCACATGCGTATTTCATATCCTAATTTTTAATAACTTTTGTGTGAAGTCTACTGCATGACGATCAAAATCTACAACAATCGAACTAATTAATTAAAAAAAATTATTTAAAATTTAATTAATGATGGCGCATGGCATGAGATAATGAAACACTACCATTTTTAAATATTTTTCAAGGAATAACGACAAACCAAATTATTTATTATATTTGATAACCATGAAAAACGGAAGATTCCTCGAGTCTGAAGAATTACTTGTGTAAATTTTCTAGAGTACAAAAACTGGGTGAATTATTTATCAGAAATTGTCACTTATAATCTACCCAAGGTATAAATACTTTGTGATGGATCGCATACGTCTCATGACACCAAAACTGGTTTCGCTTCGGGTAACACTTTCCCCTGATGATATTACTGATGAGAATAATCCTCCGTGAAAGTTGGGATGAAGGATGATCCGTTATTTGTATAAGAAGGCTTTGGAAGCGAAAGTGACAACATAATGCCCAGCACTACACTTAGAAACCAGAACAAACAACAACAACACTCATTAAGGACGAAACCTAGGGGTGACATTGTTGGGTTGTTTTGGTTGATGGCATAAAGTCTGAGATGAGATCCTAATGAGGAAAGTATGGAGTAATTATTAAAATTAACAGTGGGTCTACTTTCTCCAAGCATGTCATCATCCACACTTGATAATTTCGATATTAATTTTGGAAAAATCAAATCTTGAAAATCAAATCGGAGAAAATTTAATCTGGAAAAATTAAATTTATGCCCTGAAATGCTCGCAAAATTTGCAGTAGTAATTTTTAAGTTCAATTTTTAATTTTAGGGTAACAAAATCTTAAGGTTTGTTATATTTATAAACAAAAATAAATCCTTCCCAGTTCCCATTACAAATTATCAATTTGTATCTATTTTTTATTCCATTCGGTACGAAATATATGAAAAGCATGCACATGAAAAATCAGTGTTGGAAAAATTTAGCTGATCATTCTACAAATGTTTACTCTTTTGAATGGTCGCAATTAAATTAATGCGGATCCCAGTTTGGTTATTTGTGAAAGTGTTAATATTGATGATCTGACATTTCCAAGATTAGACACGGAAATCACGAATTCCGCCACTTCGTTTGTACTCAGTAGGATCGGAGGAGAAAGGTGTCAGAAAATGTGGGAGAAAGCGTGGCGTCATTATTGAGTGGCTGCCCCAGTTTCCAGTCTGCCCCCATGTCCATCTTTGTCACAATGTCACCCATTTATTCTCCACAAACTTCCTTCTCATTTGTCTCCCGTTGAGAGGAAGATGTTGCCACCAGGAAGGGGAGAAAGGCATTTGGAGAAAACGACGTCGTCTACCTCATTTACTTTATAAAATCACAAGAAATGACCGATTTCCCAGATTCACAAAGAATTATTTTCAGACCAGCTTCCTGGTGTTTCCGCGTTGGTAAGACAACAAAACAAGCTGAGTAAGATTCGATGTGACACAATTGCTCCGGACAAATTTATCTAATGTTGTATTTGGTCAACAATGAGTAGTTTTTGGCCAACTTTCAACTTTCCGAGCTTGAGCAACGTTCACATAATTATCGTGGTTTCGTCAATATTGGAACGAGACCGCTGGCGTCATCGCATTGTTAGTTTCAATTTGTTTAGCTAGTATTTTCATTTCTTCCAGTAACTAAAATATGAATCAACTATACTCATGGCGCTGTCGCTTCTCTTTAAAACTTTCTCTAGAAAATAAGTCTTTAGAAAATTTGGCTATTGAACGTGAATAATACTCCAGAAATTCTAAATGTGCTATTCTCTTGAAAATTGTTTGACAAGGTTTTGTCACCACAGCGACACTGATTGGGCACTCGATGGCAACTAATTAAGCACAATTTCATAGAAATGAACAAGATAATCACCCTAAAACTGCACTTTATGGTAAGTATTAACCCGAATCCCGCACCCAAAATTCAAAGCCCCACAAGCCTTTCAGCCCATCTTAAATCGTGGTGATATCTAGAAGATTACACAGGTTGAATTTATGGTCACATTCTTTAACACCACACGCGTAAATTCCCACTCCTACTTTCA